CACATAAGCTAGAAAGTCATACTCAACTTGCCTGTTTGAACACTTTTTATTTGAGACACCATCTTGACGTTAACTTCTCCTTCCCCCTTTTGCCTTGTTGGCATAGGACGATGGCTGCCCTGAGGTGAAGGAGTTTGAGGATATTTCCCCCAACACAGTGAACATGGCTCTGCAGATCCCACAGTATTTCCTCATCACCTGTGGCGAGGTGGCCTTCTCTGTCACAGGACTGAAGTCCTCGTATTCTCAGGTCTCTCGTTCATCGTTTTTACCACCCCTCTGCCATACTCCTGCCTTCAGAAAATGCTGGTGCAATGTAATTTAAATTGGGCATGGCTGTATGTTTACAGTATTAGAAAGTTCTAGAAAGCATTATGACATTCTCCCCAAAACAAGGCCCTTGAGATCACCAAGTCTTGTCTTTACTGAATAAGAATATTACTTGGTGCAGCTTTGAGAGTGCCCATGTCCACGTGTGTCCGTATTCCCACGTCATGCACCAGAGATTTAGAGTTGTGAGGAGGAGAAACTGTATTAGGGACACTCCCAGGGTCCTGAGAGTCAGTAGAGTCTACGTTCTGAAACAGCCGATTGCACCAGCTACGCACAGAAGTGCTCATTTACAGGCCCGCGTCCTCATTGTCTTGCAGGTTCCATCACGGCCCAAGTCCTGTCCCTGCACTGTCTCAGGACTAATGAGACCAAGTTTGTTGCCACCCACATTAAAGCTTAATGTTTGAACTGTTTTGTCAAAACTACAGTCACAGGCATTGTGTCCCACAGTGCATAGTCACTTCCATTTCTGTAGTAAAGATGGTGAATGTGACTTGGACAATCCCTTTCTGTGATATCTCACAGTCACATACAGGAGGTGACTGCAATACAGGTGACAAGAGTTTACAGAGAGAGTTCAGTAAGGTGGCAGGAAAGCCACACAGGGGCAAAGTTATAGCCTGGAGAGAAGCCTCCATTGAGGGGAGGAACATGCGTTCTCATGGCTTTGCTTGGAAACTCTTCTGCAGAGACAGAATGCGTTTGTCTATAGCTCTGTCCATTTAACTTAGAGGACAGCTTGGCAACGATGTGGAGTGAGATGCAGGGACTCTTACATGCTCCTGTGTGAGTGTCTGGGTGTCTTGTTACCCAAGCAATGAACCTCTGCACATTTAAACCAACCTGACATTTCATATGCATTTATAGGATAGGCTGCTTAATGAAGTGAACCAGTGAGATGTGTTCTCCTGTTCTGAGGCCGACATCTAGACTGGGATTCTCTTTGCTTTGCTTCCTCAGGCTCCTTCCAACATGAAGACAGTGGTTCAAGCAAGTTGGCTGCTGATGGTGGCTGTTGGCAACATCATTGTGCTCATCGTGGCAGGGGCAGGCCAGTTCACTAAACAGGTACAGAGTGGAGAGGAAGTTGCATGTACCCCTGTCTCATCTGTCAATATTCATAGTCATCATGACCCTCCCTATGTGATTACATGGTCTACATGGCCATTTGGGCTAATGGCTGGATAAAACTGCCAGGCCAGCCCCATAGGGTGGTCACCAAATGGCAGTGTCTGCTGATCCTTCTTGTTTTCACTTCATGTTATGTAGTTGGTCATTGGCTTACTCTGTTTTGTGTTGCTATAAAGGAATACCCAACACTGAGTAATTTATAAAGAAAAGAGGTTTATTTGGCTCACAGTTCTACAAGCTGTACAAGGAGTACGGTGCCACCATTTGCTTCTGGGAAGGGCCTCAAGACACTTTTATGCATGCAAGAAAGTGAAGGGGGGGCAGGTGTGTCACATGGCAGGAGAGGAAGCGTGAGAGAGGAGGAGGTGCCAGTGTCTCTCTGGTGAACTAACAGAGCAAGAACTCGCTCACTACCATGGGGAGGGATCCAACCCCGTGACCCAAACATCTCCCACCAGGCCCCACCTCCAACACTGGGGATCAAATTGCAACATGAGATTTTGAGGGGCCAGATATCCAAACTATTGACGACGAAAATGAACAGATTGTGTAAGGTACATGCACCCTATGTGATTTACTCCCAATGGAAACATCTCTCCCAGCTTCAATGAGCACAGCTTAGCAGCCCCAAAGCACACACATTATCCATAAACTTCATAACACCTGAAGGTAAAACCATT